GACACTTATAGTAGTGGCTGATGGGGAAATATAATGTAGCGAAATTCTGAAATACGAAAAAAGCTACAGTGAATTTTTTTTATTACATAGTGTGTCAAAATAGGTTCTATAGTGTTCTATATTTTTAATTTGAAACCCGAACTCTCTAGTAGTTAGTGGCGATGGAAACCCATTAAAATTTCAAGGAGGGCTAAAATTTTTTACTTCAATGTTAGCGGGAAAGCTTTGATTCCATAAAACTAAAAAACTATCCGTTTTCGGATTCTAATGGAATATTTGGAGGCTTAGCCCTCTTCTTGAATTCCACTCATTGGCTAGAGTCAAGCTTATTCTACTTAAAGTATATTATAAGTAATACAAATTTTTGAAATAGTGAGTATATTACTAATAAAATAAAAATATATAGGTACGCTCATAGGCGCCGACTACATGGGGGCTTGGGGGCCGCAGCCCCCATTGAAAAGATGGAGTCAGGGCTCAGCCCYCATTGAAAAGATTGAGATTTGAATTTCCCAAATCATGTTTTTAATTTATTTCGTGTTATACTACAGGTAGCATTTATTTTATCATATTTTACATATTTGAATTAGTTTAAACTAGGACTTTAAGTGACTAAAAATTTKAGGGGAACCGTTATTAATGAAAAATTTTGAGTGTTCCTCTGATTTAAAATTTAAGAGGATACAATTAAAAATATAGATATAAGTAGTCCACTTCCCGCGTCTCTACTCTTTAACCACATATTTAAATTATTTTGAAGAGCAAAAGTTAAGGCTAATATGTAGMAAATTCGGCCCCCATTGGCATTTACAAAACCTGGCGCCTATGGCGTACGCTTATATATAGTCTGTAATAGTCTCGAATATATCTTTATAGCTTAATATAGTTTATACAATAGAAAATGAATTACTATTACTTTTGTTCTTTATTTTAGATCGAGAAAATTGTTTTCCTATTCTACCGTATAAGTAATAGCTGCTGAGCGTGTAAACAATACGGTTCTGACACCTACTATGTATTATATATATATATAATATAATGTCAATCACGTGTAATCATCAACCGCCTTGATCCGTACCACGCAGTTGCTATTATTATATTTATAATTATTTATACAATAATTAGTTAATTGATAGCACAGTATGTAATAAAACCTTATGCTTTTAGCTATTTTTTACAATTGTATTAAAATCTGGTAAAAAAATAATAGTTTTTGATTGTTTGATTTTTTTTACATCATACACGACCTGCAGTTCTTAATTTGATAATAATAATAATAATAATAATAAAAGTATAATAATGAGTTCATGACTATTTATAGGTGTCTGATACTTTGATCATCATTTAAACAACAAATTAAGCTCAATAAAATGTCTACTTAAACATGATAAAATAATCCAGTTCTGAGCTCTCAAGTGAATGTTATTGAACAACATTAGAACGTATTATATTTATATAAACCTTTTACATTTATATTTATTATATATTAATATTATGTTATAATATTATATTTACTATACATATTTAATAAATAATATTTATTCGTTTAATATTTAAGGTTTTGAATACTTTGGCCTGCATATCCGTTATATATTTAAAAATAAGAATAAATGTTGATATCAATAATATATTATTATCTTAACGCAAGAACGATAACGATTTTTAAAGAGTGTCAGAGCAAATGTATGACAGTAGTGTTCATCAAGTATTAGATTTGTCAACACGATTTCTATCGATGAAATTTAATTCACGAATCATACATTTATAACCACGAGTGTATCAAACTACGAAATCAGAAAGGTTTAAAATGCATCTTCCCACTGTGAACGTAAAATTATTACCTATCAAGGTGCATTTTTTCCTCTTGAATGGYGGTAAGACCTATCGTGATTTCTGCAGCCAGCAGACCTTGACGAACTCGTCATCGATTACAAGTTTATATATATTATAATATCATTAATCATATATTCTGATATTCACATCGTTATAATGTCACGTTATCACTTTTTCTTGATAATTTCTTCTTCATAACTATATTTCTCTTAAGATCGTGTATTTTTTTTTTGGACCACCGCAGGAACTTCGCCAATGACACCGTACCTGACYACCATTGCCAAACAACGGGGCTACTCTCCACGGCTGGTGGGCGCCKTTTTCTCAGTGCTGCCTCTCGCCGCAGTATTCGCCCATCCCGTTTTCGACATCATGGCCTATCATTTCCGATGCCAAAAGACCATGTTCATGAGCTTTGTCATCGTGCTCCTTCAAATAACTACTTCCTACGAGCTCATACCTGACCCACCAGCGGATGTCGACAACAGGCGGGACGAGATCGCGCTTGCCACACACCAGTTCTGGTTATTTTGCGCCTTCTTGGCGGTCAGATATATCATCATATATCACGATCAACGTCATCACCACTTTATTGGAAACCATGTGCTTGCAAGCCTTGGGTAGGTTAGAGAAATAACATATATAGCTCTCGGGTCATCTCGGTGACCAATACGTCAAGACTCAAAACAAAATTGTAACTATGAATGACATTCGTATTTCATATAAATAAATAGGTTGAATTGTTAAATTCAAAGACACAATTTTAAATGGTAAACGGTCATGATTAAAGATATTATAGTATTGATGAGCGAATCCCCACACAACATAAAGTGGAACTGATCTTGAGGTACTGCGCGTCACATGAGCACGCAGAATAGACAATAGGTCTCTCGGTGGACAGAGTATTATTATAATATTATATATATATATTTATATATATTTGCTTATTCCGGGCCCTATAGGTCCATCGCTGCTTTTACTATACCTCTCCATTTTTTTTTGCACTCCTGGTTTTGCCACTCCAATAGAAATTCTGTCAAATAGGCATCCGAACTAGGCCTTCGTGCCTACTCCCGGACATAGCGCCATATGAAAAAAAAACCTCTCCATACCTCCCCGTTATTCACCAGTTATTTTCTTATTCCCAGGAGCACGWGGTCTCTCTAACTTGGTCAATCCACCGTTTTCTTGGTCGTCCTCCCGGTCGTTTTTATCTGGCTAATGGCTTCCATATTATGATCTCACTGTGTTACCTTCTTGACCATACGTGACCAGCMAAGCTTATCCATCTGCTTTTAAGAATTCCCACAATGTTTGGTTCATTGAACATACTTCTTAGCTCTGCATTTGWTCTTCGTACATAGGTATACATACATATTGTCCTCCTCGTTTCTTTTGAGCCCTATTCTACGTGAATTTAATAATATATTATTATAGGCTATATCATTATGACGTTATTTATTATTATGTTTTGACATGCCTTGCAGGTAAATATAAGCACAAATTTGGAGAACAACGATTGTGGGGCTGTATCGRTTGGGGATTGGTAAAATGGAAAAATAAAAATTAGAAATTAGAAAGTTAAATTGGAAAAATTGATTAACCATGCCTTATGCAAAATGCTTCCTAATTAAAAAATAAAATATTTGTTTCAAAATAGAA